TTTTCATCCTCACCTATACAGTTTAGCAACTATATATATTTATATACATATACATATACAACTTAGTTTAAATCAAAATTCTTAGTACTTACTACCTACCTAACATATATTTAAACCAAATACCATTACACATAGGCGCCCCCGGGGCCCATATAAATATCTACACGTTTGTGATTGCATCTCAATCATATTATCCAAGAGTTTAAGAGGGAGTGTGTGTGGTGGGGGAAAAATTAATTGTATTTTCTAGCAATTAAACATCCTTATTATTTCTTACTATCTCATCTTATTACATAAAAAATATTACAATCTACTTAACTTCTCAATGGCCTTGGAATTGCCATATTTAGCAGAGTTTTCATACCTTTTCTTTGCCTTCATTAAATCAATATTACAACCAATCCCATTTTCATAATAATATCCTAAAATATACTCAGCTTTGTTATACTTACCATCACTAATTTGACAACTCCTGTAAACCCAATTAAAAGATTCTATCTCATTAACTTCTAAAACATTCTCACATCCCGTTAGATACCATCCACCAATTGACAGCATCGCCATCGCATTATTATTCCTCGCGGATTTTAAATACCATGATATAGACTTCTTACCATCAATCCCAACATTTAACTCCCCAGTCTCATAACAATACCCTAATTTCCATTGAGATATACCATGGTTGAATTTCTTGGCACCGATCTCATAATACTGCAACGATTTTAAGGTATCCTTATAAAAATTCTTGGATATCAGTAAATGTTTAATATCTTCTGGTAAATTATCAAATTCAAATATCTTCGCTAACTCATATAACGATTGAGAATTCAGAGATTTCTCAAACATCGAAATTGCTAAATTCACATTAGGCATGATTATTTTCTCTCCATTAGCTTTAGTATTATTAGCAAATCCATACATATAACACATCCCTAGCTTATACATACAAAGCTTGTTATCACACTCATTGGCACCTTTCTCATAATATTCAATAGCTTTCTTTATCATATATTCCTTGTCAATACCTTCAGATTCATCTAAAGTGATACCTCTGCTGAATTCATAACTGATACCAGCTCTGTAGCAACTATCAGAATGATTATATTTGGCCGCAATACAATATAACTCAAAAGCTTTTTTATCATTCCTTGCAACAATATTTTTGTCTAATATTTTCAAATAAGGCTGATGTGAATATAATGTCCCCATTAAATATATAGCCTCGGGATATTTCTTGGATATTAGTTTACTTAATACTTTAAAAGAATGCTCGATTAGAACTTTTTGGTTTTTAGTCATCTCTTCGGTTGACAATCGTCTTTTCAATTTCTCTGCATTGATATTGTATTCTATAAGAAATGAATTTCTGTATGCATACTCGAACAGCGTTTCACACCATTTCAATTGTATCTCTGAAGTGAACTTGCCCGCATCCTTTATCGTCTCATTATAAATTTTATAAAATTCAACAGCTTCATCTGAATAATTTGATAAATCTTTGCCATCTATTATTATTTTTTTAGAGACATCATTACTCTTGGGGTGATTAGCCGGTACATTGTTAACTGCTTGAGGGGAGTTCGAATGAACATTATTTATAACAGTTGAATCAGATGAATTGTGTAATGCTGTACTTGAAGAATCAAATGATGTGAACGATGAAGCTGAAGAACTATAATGTTGTAAATCCCCTGGGTTTGTTATATTATGTCTATTAAGGGTTGGTTTCCCTATAGAATCAGAATTACTATTATTTAAATTGTTATTTTGATAAAATGGATTCTTAGAATGCAGATGCTGAGGATCAGCTCTCTGTGGGTTCCGTTCCTTAAGACCTTCGGTATTTCTGTTTTGCTGATTATTCAGACTATTGTTTGATTTTGCCAAAGATCCTTTATGGGTATTTATATTATTGCCAAAATTCATACTTACCGGTGATGGTGTTGATGAAGTAGGTGTGTAATATGGGGCTCTGAGAGGAGCATAGGAAGTTTCTTCTACAGGATATGGAGTTGTATGCTCATGACGTTGATTGGTATTGCTGTTCACAGTATCGTCCTTCGATCTTGGATATGCATTGATGTAATTATAATATCGAGCATCGAATTTCTCCTGTTCAGTTTGCATTTAAGAAGATAAAAAAACAAAATTAAAGTCTGGTTATTTTAATTTAATTATTATGTCTATTACTTTTTTTTTGATTTCCTCAGAATTAGAAACGTTCTATCAAATCTAATATCTCTTGAAAATATGTAATCTCTAAAGTCACACTGATAAACCCTATATTTCGAGTAATAGAAGTTCCTCAAATATCATTTAAATCTATACGTTTTTTTGCTTATTTATTTTTTAGATTTTTGTTTAAATACACTTTGTCCCCACTTAATTAATTCACTGAGATAAAGGTATTTCCTGAATTCTTCTTTATACTTCTGAAATTTCAGGCTAGAGTATATCCCTTGTTAGTTATATATTCCTATCTTTCAATTTTATTTCTGCCTTGTCAAACCAAAAAAACAATAGTCTAACCTCACTTCTTTAATAATATAAATTAGGGAGCCGATCAATTAAACAAGCAGTCCTTGTGTATCAATTTGTATAATACTTTCGTTGGAGATTGGCTTCAACATCTATAAATCGTCCAAATAATAGTGTCAATTATAAATAATCATTAGTTGAAGAAGTTAATCAAATAATATCTAAAAATTTTGATGAAGTTAAAGGCTGAAAGTAGGGTAAATAACTTCTACCTCTACTATATCTATTAAATAAGGATGTTATAAAAGGATGATTAGTTATGTAACAAGATGGTGTTGAATTGGGATCTTATGGTTACCAAATATTAATCTTATCGATAGTAGTGGTGGTGGATCCTATTATTAAAAAACATATATGTATATATTCTTCTTAATCAACTATTTTTTTGTTCGTAGAGTTTCATCTAAATTCATATCACTTAACATATTATCAATTATGATGTTATCATTATCTTCATCAGATTCTGTTAGTTGGCTTTTTCTCCTATTTGATGTTACTGTTTGTGGTAATGAGAATGAATTGTCGAAATTTGTATCTGATTCTGAATTATTCTCATCTTCATTTTCATCTTCAGATTCAGTAGTAGAATTTCGACTTATCTTATTATTGTTATTAATATCGTCATCATCATTATCATTATCATTCTTGGAATGTAAGGATATTGACTTGTTATTATTATCTTTATTATCAGTTTTGTTTGTTATAATTTCGCCCCTGTTTTGATTATAATCTGTGGTATTTGTACTTGTAGTATCATTAGTTACTATTGGTGATACTAAATTTGAATGTGTGGTCATTACTTCTGCTGGAAATTCATCAGGTTCAACATGGAATGGGTCATCTGCTTTCATCAATAGATCGTCTAATCCCCCTCCTGACCAACCTTTCCTTGCTATATTCTCTGATATTTCTACTTGTGCTCTAACTGTACTTGCAACTTTATTTAAAATGTGTTCACAGGTTGATTCGACAAGTAAATATGAATCTTGATAAAAATCATGTTTTAATGTTTCTAAATGATCTAATTGAACTTGTAAATTTGATAGACTTTCTCTGTAAGATAATATATTTCTAACTTTTCTTTTTGATAGTTCGATATTATGCTTTTCCTGTAATTTTAATTTTAATGCTTGTTCTTTACATTTTGCTTTGAATTCGTTATTTATACAATTTGAATTGAAATTAAAAGAATCTAACTCTTTTGATATATCTTCTGCTAGTAATTTACTGAATATTTCTGACATGATTTGCTGATGGTTTGCTAATAAATGGAATAGACCACTAGCACTTAGCATCCTCTCGGCAATATCATCATTGCAACCTTTCAACCTTGCTAAATTTTCCAATGAATGTGCAAAATTACTTGATCTTTCAGAAACTTCACTTAACGATTTAGAGTATTGAACTGAACTTTTAAGAAGCTCTTTTATAGTCATAGCAGTGTTATCGGTATCTCTTTTAGTGACCAAAGTTCTTAAATCACTTATAGTACTCATACCAGATTTAATACTTAAAGTTCGTCTATGAGAATAATCTGTACTCGAAGAACTTACATTCACCTCACGATCCAAACTTTCATTCTCCATTTCATGATTAACATTGTTATTGTAATTACCATTACCATTACCATTAGTATTATTGCTTGAAGGTCTTGTATCTAAGCCAGAATTAACGTCTGCCCTCGCATTATCCTTATTCACAATAGAATAAAACTCTGAAAGATGAGGAGCATATCTGCCATTACTAGAGGATTCATTAACAACAGAATTTTCAACCTCCTCCTGTAATTTCGTAGTCATATTCCTAATATATATATATATGTATATACCAATGAATACTTCTTCTGTTCCAACAAAATGTCGTGATTCGCCCTAAAACCAGCTAGAAGTCAGTGAATAAAATGCAACAAAGGAATAAATAAACCAAAATTTAAAACAATAAAACAAATTATAGACTCGATCAAACGTAATCCCGATACCCTTATGTCTCTAGTCTCTATTCTGATGCTATATCCTATTGTTTGTTATTTTTATGTCCCTTTGACTTATCTTGACTTATTATTCATTTTTATATCGTTCTTAACTATGACGATAAAGAAGCGTAAGCCAACAGATATCAGAAAAAAATATTCGATATTTTAAAGACAAGAATCTGAAAGGTTTCGAAATTTGATGAAACTTTGGTGGACGGAAGTTGCATCTAGTGTTAGGCAATTGCAGGACAGGTTAGCTGAATTGGTTATATATTTGGTGAATCCATTGAAGGGGACTTTTGATTCGAATTTTTTGGGCTTTTGGAAGAGAAGAAGTTCGAGTATTGACAAGATTTGAATTGTGTTTCAACAAGATTTTAAAGAGAAACTACGAGGTCAATAAGAAATGTTTATTCAATCATTTAGGTTACCAATTGGTATTAATTTGAGCAATGGGTTGCTAAAGATCAATCAAGGGTCTTTATTGAGAGAAAGTAAAGTTTTGATTAATCGTTTTTATGCCACTGAAAGACTAACTGTTAAACCTTTAGAATCTAGAAAAACATTTTTGATGGATTATTATAAAGATATGATGGAATCCAACCCTGTGATATTGTTCGTGCATTATAATAATTTAATGAAACAGGAGAATGAGCATTATAGATCTTTGATTAAGAGCAACGGTGGTAAATTGTCTATGCTAAGAAATAATCTGTTTAAGGCTTATTTAAGGGCTGCTCATACGGAAGATCCAAGTGCACCAATACAGAATAAGGATAAGAATATGAACCATCCTTTACTTCCATTGTTCAATGGACCTACTGCAGCAATTATGTTTAAAGAAACTTCACCAGCTAATGTTGCCAAAATTGTAAAGTTATTGGAAAAAGCTCAAGATAAATTGTTTATCGTTGGTGCTAAAGTCGAAACTGAAGTTTATGATGTTGCTCAATTGAATGAATTCAAGAAATTACCTTCCAAACCTGAATTACAAGCACAATTGTTAGGTTTATTACATATCTTAAGTGGTGCAGGTTTAGTGAACACATTAGAAAAAGGTTCTCAAACTTTATATTTAACTTTAAAATCACACCACGATAACAAGGAATCTCAAGGCAATTGATTTAGTCGATTGATTAATTAATTGATCGAGAATCTGGAATGCTATAAAATCCATGTGTTGTTTTCGTCTGATCTGGTTTTTTTCCTGTCTGTACTATTTTAAATTCAGATATTTTCCAAAACCTCATCAGAGAAACCTTTCAAAATTAAACATTCGTGCATAATAAAAAATAAAATTCCTTTATATATATCTGTATAGGCGGATCATGTAAATAAAAATGATAACGTTATTATTATAAATATCACAACCTTTCAATCATCCATTGACATAAACTTCATTTACTGTCTCTTGATACATCTTCCTATATGCTCCTGCCTACCTAATTCTGTTAGCGAGTTGAAATGAAAATTTTCAGTTCATCTCATCTCATCTCATCTCATCGCAAGATACATCATCAAACATACAGTTGATTTAAAAGTATAAAATACAAACTTGAACAATTAGTGAGCATTTGGAATTGGATTACGTTGACTTATTTATAGGATATTGCAGATTTTGTAATAGTATTATCAAAAGACAAAAAAGTTCTGTATAAAAAGATGGATTTAAGAAATCCTAATCGTGATCCAAATTCGAGACGTGTACTATATCGTACTAATAAAGAAGAAAACCGTAAAGAATTGAAACATGTTAAGATCGATGAATCTACGTTAGCTCAAGAAGGTAAGAAGCTTGATTTACCAAAGAAAAGATTTTATCGTCAAAGAGCTCATTCGAATCCATTTTCCGATCATCAGTTAGACTATCCAACTTCTCCAGATGATATGAATTGGTCGAAACTATTCCCACATTATTATGATTCAACAACTGGTAAAATGACTAAAGATGTCACCATCGCTGATATTGGTTGTGGGTTTGGTGGTTTATTAATTGATCTATCACCTGCATTCCCAGAAGATTTGATTTTAGGTATGGAAATCCGTGTTCAAGTCACCAATTATGTGGAGGATAGAATTATTGCATTAAGAACCAACCATGCCAAAGATTATCAGTATCAAAATATTAATGTCATTAGAGGTAATGCTATGAAGTTCTTACCAAATTTCTTCCAGAGAGCACAATTATCAAAAATGTTCTTTTGTTTCCCAGACCCTCATTTTAAACAAAGAAAACATAAGGCAAGAATCATCACCAATACTTTACTAAGTGAATATGCATACGTCTTAAAGGACAACGGTGTAATTTATACAATTACTGATGTTGAAGACTTGCATAACTGGATGGTAAAGCATCTGGAAGAACATCCATTATTCGAAAGATACGATAAGGAATGGGAAGATAATGATAAATGTGTTCAAATAATGAGAAACGCTACTGAAGAAGGTAAGAAAGTTGAAAGAAAGAAGGGTGATAAATTTGTTGCATGTTTTAGAAGATTGCCAAACCCAGCTATTGTATAGATTTTAAAACCATAACTTAAATAAAATTCAGCACTTTTGTAATATATATATATATATCATCTCCTTTTAAACAATAAATTTAGAAAGTTAACTAACCTATACAATAGATACATTACTCATTACAAATGTCCCTAGATTATAATATTCTCCCTCTTGAGTAACTTTCTCTTCATATCAGTTCCCAATGCAAACCCAGTGATTGATCCATGTTTGCCAAGAACCCTGTGACATGGTATTAAAAGAAGTAATTTATTTTCACCACAAGCTCTTCCAACAGCTCTAATAGCTTTAGGTTTACCAATTTTAACAGCAATATCAGAATACGTCAAGGTATTGCCAGTTTTTATCTTTCTGATTTCATTCCAAACGTCTTGTTGGAACTTTGTACCTGAAATAAATTCATACTTAATATCAACTTGATTTGAGTCATTTTCCAACAATAAAGAATATTTATGTTTAATCTCTTGTAATAAAGTAAATCAGAGGTACTTAATTGGGATTCATTTATTTAGTATATAGTCCAATTTGCTCTGTTTAGAAATGTTTTCAATTAATTTCTGTGCATTTTTCAAGTAACACTGCTTTATTATTACCTAACGTTACATAAACCAATGACTTTAGTCTTTACTCGAACAATAAGTAAGGCTGTACTGAATGAATTGGTAATATATGTATACGTGAGTAGCTCCTTCATTAGATTTGTATTTAGTTCAATCTGGTCGCCATCCATCAATTTAAACCAGTGCAACTATCAGATATATATCAATGTGATGAGTTATTAAATAGGCTAAATGCTTTTTCAAGCCTGTCTGATATGAGCTTAAATGAAATATTGAAGATATCTATCTATCCTGATGCCAGTAAATATCAGATTTGATTGAGATATATATGTAAATATATGTTGATGATTCTACCAATTTATTAGTGTAGTTGGGTTTGTTAATACTGTATCAGTATGATTTCGGTGTATATCCCTGTATATATTTTTAGCAAATATATTGAATTTAGTGAAATTTTAGTTTCGTTAAATGAACGCTATATAGAAATGTCATTACAGTATTCTTAAAATTTACAGAAGGTAAACATATTTACAGAATTCATTATATTTATGTTAAAGATTATTATTAAAAAAACCAACCACTCATTTAATGGTCAAGTTTATTTTGATAACATGTTATCAAACATTGGAATTAATGATTGAGCCAAGGCAAATGAGAAGACTAACTTTGGACCAGTGGTCAATAATTTTGGTGTTAAACCTTTAAAGAAAGCTGTGAAACCTTCATTCTTTAATGTGTTTTTAATGATTGTTAATCCACTTTCTGGATTGTCGAAGTTTCTATTTTGAATTCTAGTTTTAATAACATCAAGAGGAGCAGAGACAATCAAAGAGGCAGAAGCACCAACAATCGAAGAGACAAAATTTTGGCCCCAAGTTGCCTTTGAATAATCTTTCAAACCTAAGATATATTCTTTTGCAAAAGCATTACCACCGAATAATGCAAAAGAACCCGGGGCATTTCTAGCTGCGGTCCAACCCCAACCCCTGTACAAATTGAATAAACCTTCATCCTTTAATATCTTAACAAAACCTCTACCTTTAAAGGATTCTGGATTAGTTTGTCTCTTAATTTTCAAAACATCTAATGGTAATAATACAATTTCACCAATACCAATGATTGAACCGGCAGCAGCAGATCTTAAAGCCTTACCAGTTTTTTCACCAAAGGCATTGTCGAAATCAGATTTAAAATGTTTATTTAAATATTCGTTGGCAAAAGGTTGACCACCATATTTATAAACTCTTTGCAAAATTTTGTAAACTGCAGCATAACCAAGACCTGGGAATAAAGTGAAAAATCTCTTGCCAAATGCCTCAGAATAATGTTCACGGAATATAACTCGATTCAATTCAGTTGTAGAGCTAACCTTTGTGTGATTAGACATTAATCTCTTGGAAATAGTATCCACAGGGTGGAAGACACCAATTTCCAAAATACCTGCAGAAGCAGAACCTAGCAAACGTGCAACACCAGATTGTTTCTTATCGTTGCTAGCCATTATGAATAATTGTTATCGGAGGTAGTAATTGTATAAACAGGAATATTGGATGAATAAATAAAAATAGATATAACAAATTGGTTTCTCACTTAGTCTACAACAGCAGTAAGGTTCTCGATAGATCTCTAGATCTTATGATAAGGATATATGTCAAGGATGAACGATGGAACAAACCAGAATTTTTGCAATATTTTTATTTAAATATAAATTTCCAGGGATTACATTATACTTTGTTAGGATCAATCAGGGATGTGACTCTTAAAGCCAGAAACTGACAAATGGATACTGAATTCATCATGATCTTTATGACCAAGTTTGTTGGTTTGAATGAAATTTTTCACTTTTGAAACTTTTTTTCCTCCTTCGTTTCTTCCCTGTTTCCTGTTAGGATGTCTAATTTGCTGTTACTCGTCTTGGAAAGGACATTTAAACAGATCGGTAACTACTGGACAGTGCCTGATTGATTGACTAATACACTTTTTATTTCAGAATATGGTTGGCGATGACTAACTGATCTGGAATAGAATCGTGTGAAGTTGGGATTGATGATTGATAGGGAACTGAGAGGTAGAGTTCTTTTTCAGTTTCAATTAGAGTGATGTATTTATAGGCAAGAATATTTTTATCATCTTGTAAGAATGTGTGTCATTAATTTTATTTCATTTGGTGTCATTGCACACTGTTATTGATTGAGCATGTTTCTTTACATTTCGTTGATCTGTATTCATATTCATTTATTTGATTTCATTCTTTCACATATATGCTTTATATGGGGGGAGATGACAGGTACATCAACTAGTGTTTTTATTTGAACGTTGTGGTAGGGGATCGTTGGTATTGTTGGGATATTGTTACGAAGTGTATTTAAAGTTAGACTTTGCTGCTGTTATGTCTCTTCGTTCCTTCGTTCCTTCGTTGTATGTACATATTGTTAATATCTTTCCTGTCTATTCTCTATTTTACCTATTTAGGAACATACCGTTCCTAAATAGGAAATCCACGTGTTCCTAAACAGGTAAATATCAAATTTCAATTTATAATTTCGAAATTTAAAAAATTTATAAAAATGTAAAATAATGAAGATTAACTAATAAACCAGTTGAAGTTATAACCTGATCGTACACTTATTGGAACGTCTCTTGGTCTGATACACCAACAATATAGATATAAGCGTATTCGATTTGAATAGTTTCTATACTTATATTGTTGTCTTTAACTCTACTCTGATACAAGAACTGAACATTACCTTTTTGCATATTTATTCTTAAAATATAAGTAAACCTTATAGAAGAAAAGAAAGAGAGGATACTAGAATTTAATAGTAACATCAAGGAAGAGATTCTATACAGTTTAGAATATTTCCTTTATAGTTTTGTTGGAAACAAGTCTGTGCTCATCTGTGTTATTCAATTACTTTGTTTTTTAATTTATTTCATCTTACTTTTATCTTCCACTGCATATTAATAATATTTCTTTTGCCATAACCGTTTATTACAAAAGAAAATTATCAAGTTTCATTTTATATTTAATTAGCCCATTTTCTCATTGGTGTTTCATTACAGGACAATTAAAATTTATTCACATCATTGAATACATCAATACTCTTTTGAGAATTACCCATAGTAACAGTTTGCATACATATACACACTCTGACACTCGCATATATATTCATATATATATTATTTAAACAGTGATGGATTCGGAAGCAGATGCAATCGTAAAGGATTTCGCTAGTATCCTGGAGGAATTGACCTTTAATTCAAGACCAATTATTACTACTTTGACAAAAATGGCGGAAGAAAATATATCATATGCGCAATATTTTGTAGACTCATTGGAATCAAGAATTGAAAAATGTGTACCAAAACAAAAACTGTATGCCTTTTATACTTTAGATTCAATTTGTAAAAATGCTGGAAGTCCATACACTATATACTTTAGCAGAAACCTATTTCAACTTTACAAAAAAACTTATCTTTTAGTTGATAATAATGTAAGACAAAAACTAATAAGTATGTTTAAAACTTGGATGGCTCCAAATGAGTCCACGGGTTTACCATTATTCGATAAATCGGCTTTAGATAAAATTGAACAATTTTTAATTAAAGCAAGCGCATTACATCAAAAGAATTTCCAATCAATGTTGCCAACTCCAACCGTACCTCTACTGTTAAAAGAGATTGATAAATTAAATTTATTAACAACTGAGAGACTAAAAGAAAAACCAGATGACGAGAAATTAAATATTAAATTAGTAGTACTATCCCAATTAAAACAAGAACTTCAAAAGGAAAAACTAACTACAGCAGCTTTGAAACCTGTTCAAATGCAATTGATGCAAGTATTTGCACAAGATCAACAATTATTACAGGAAAGATTAAGGCAAGAACAGTACCAAAAAGAGCAACAACAATTACAAAAAAAGCAAAACCAATTCAATCCTTTAGGAGACATCGACCAACAACAGCAGCGACAACAAGGATCTAGCCATAATCCATTGTTTGGTAACTCATTGGGCTTAAAACCACCTGGCGCATCTGCATTATTTCCTACTTCTACATTATTAACAGGACAAGATTTCTCAGAATTTGAAAAAGCAAGTAAACTTTCAAAACTGCATAAGCTTTATGAATCTTTGGAATCAGAAGGGTTGGTTTATAAACCTCCAAAAGATTCCGTAGTAAATTTGTTTTCTACTTTTAATAAAGGGCATTCTGGTGCGTCAGAAATAGATGCAGACTCTAAGAAAGCACCGCTGCCTTCTGTAACAGAACTTCACAACATTTTATCAGACTGTAAAGCTTACTTTGCAACAGTTAACATAGATATATTGAACACTCCATCTTTACAAATCTCTCAAAAAACAATTGTTGGTAATAATGAGATTGTTCATAATAATTTAATTAACACTCTTTATCGTTCAAAACCTAAAAAGTGCAATGTATGTGGTAAACGATTTGGTAACTCCCTCGAGGAACGTAGATTACAAAGTGACCATCTAGACTGGCATTTCAGAATAAACAAAAGGATAAAAGGTTCAGAAAATACTTTGACTGGTTCAGGTAATGCTGGAGGAATATCGAGTACAAGCCAAAAAAATATTCAATCGAGAAACTGGTATTTGCATGATTCACAGTGGGTAATCTTCAAGGATGATGAGATTGTATCGACATCTAATACTTTAGATAATACGGCAAAGGTAACGACTGCAAACGTAGAAAATTCCACAAGAGCCATATCAAGCGGTTCTATGTATGATGCAGCTAAAGAAACTTCACCAAATACATCTGAAAGAGCCATATTGATAGATGAAAACTTATTACGTAAAAAATATGTGGTTGTTCCTGAGTCTTCAGAAGATATGTCATTTCAATGTCCTATTTGTAAGGAAACAGTGTCTGCTTTGTACGACGAAGATTTAGGTGAATGGACATGGAAAGGAAGTATGGAATATAACGGAAAGTATTTCCACGCTATATGTTATTATGAAGCTGCAAAGAATAATAATAATTCTATAGGTTTGGAGTTGGATCTTGAGAAATTGAAAAACTTAATTTCAGAGTAAATCTCCTTCCATGATTTAAAATTCTGTTTATATAGATTGTTATAAATCGTTTCGCATAGGAACTTGTCTATTGAATTTACTTCAGTGTGTAATAATAAATATCTCTTCAACTCTGTATAAAACTAAATTAATCCTAAACGATATTTTGCAAATTCTTGGAAGTATCAGCAAAAATATTTTCAAAATTTTAGCAATTACTAAAGTAAATTGCCTAAAAAAGGCCTTTTCAGTATTATTTAAGATAATATGTTAATAATAATAATGGTAAAAATATTGTGATTATTTTATATGTATAAATGGTATCTATATAGATAATTAAGTTTAAAAATAATGGATGCAAAAAATTTTTGAAATATGATGGGAGCTTTTGTTATGACAAAATTATTTTTAATATTAAATTGGTATATTTAAAGTGCCAAGGGATTATGTGCTGAAGATAATTTATTTATCAGTATCGTTTTGAAACTACTATAGTCATTTATTAAATATTATCATTATAATACTAGAAATGTAGTTTGATTTTTGGAAGTCTCAATCATCATCATCAATTTCTATAATAATATTTTCAGCTCTCCTCTCCTGATTATTTCTGAAAATGATGTCATTATTCTCCTTGGAAGTAGCACTAATGGTATTAGTATTACTATTAGTATGACTATTAGTATGACTATTAGTATTAGTATTGGTATTAGTATTGGTATTAGTATTGGTATTAGTATTGGTATTAGTATTGGTATTAGTATTGGTATTAGTATTGGTATTGGGATTAGAATTTGTAGGATTAGATTTGTTGCCCGAGTATATTCCAGAGTTAAACACTGATCTTCTTATTTAAGTTAGTGGAAATTTCTGGAAGACAAGAATATTCACTGCTAACATTTGTGACGTTATTATTATTCGGTGATCGAACAATCGTTCCATCTTTAATTGAAACATATTCTTCTTTGGCTGTTCCTTTAATGACAGATTCTTCTCTAATCGTGCATGTATCTCTGGCATACCCATTGGCATTTTTATTAGTATCATGATCTTCTTTCTTTTCTTTATCTTCTTTATGTTCATGATCTTCTTTATCTTCTATATTTTCATGACCTTCTTTCTTTTCTTTATTTTCATTTCTAGTAATATTAATTTCACTTTTTTGAGGCTCCCCTGCTATTTTAAATAAATCATTTGTTCTCCTTTTTTCTAATTGTTTCTCGAAATCTATTTTTGACTTGAGTATTTTTTCAGCAATTATTGGTCTCAGATGATCTGAAGCTTGGCTCAAAAGTGATGTGGAAAGATACTGATAATATTCATCAGTAAATTCCATAGAATTCATCGGTAATTTTGGTACTTGGTTTGAGTGATAATTATTGGAATTTTGATATTTCATCATTTCTTCAAAAAACGGATTTGATTTATATTGGGCATTTGAGTTCTGTACGCGGTTCGTAATGGCATTGGAATTTGATACAACTTGTGATTTATTGAAACCAAGATTAACTTTATTTAAAGTTTCTCTATTTCCTTGTGATATAGTCGATAAATTCTGATTCTTACCAGTATTTTGAAGTAATGATGACGTAGAGGAGTGTGATCTTGTTGAAGTTTGATCTGTGTTCATATTTGACGGTACTGCATTGGACAATGCCATTTTTTTTATTTTTTCAAATTCATCACGTTTAAACATGTACTTAGACCTATTTTGCATTCTGCTATTTATTGAATCATCGCTATGTGTTCTTTTCAATCCAGCCTTATTATTGTCGGTATGCTCAGTACCATTTGCTTCTAATACTGAAATATTCTGATGCTGATTCATATAAGCTCCAGAAGTACTGGATAATGGTATGTGGTATTGTGCTCCTGGAGTGTTGCTTCCTGGTATTTCTTGTTGTTCATTCTTCTGGGCAAAATTCTTTGCATCAAAATGTGCAATGAGCCGATTTACAACTTCATTCTTTACATTAATCGGATTTTTATCCAAAGTTATATATTTGTAAGATTTCACAAAGATTTCTCTATAGGCAGGAATAAGAACAGTTAGAGTAGAATGAGAAAATTTATAGAATATGGATGTTAATATTGATATTTCATGTAATTTATTTTTTGCTAAATTGAGTGCTTCCCTGAGCTTTTCATTCTCAACTAATGATTTTTTTGAAGAGTCAACATAATTAGAATATGCCTTGTTCTTAGAGTAGGATTTTAATTTTTCTATATGTACAGCTTTTTTTAAATTATTACATCGTACTTCTAATTGATCCTTTAGTCTTCTGCATTCCTCATTTTTTTTTATCAAGTTCTGTTTTAATTCACTGATAATATCACTTTCTACTGTTAAATCATTAAAATTTGTCCCACCATGTTCATCACTAAAATATTTTTCTATTTCTTTTTGTTTTTTTTCAATTCTTTGCAATCTTTTTAATAATTTGTTTTCTGATGCTTCGTACATTGTCTTAATATGTTCCAAACTGTACTTTTCCAGCATTTTATCTTTATTAAGATCATCTGTAGAAGTCGTTTCCTTCTGATTGATATTATCTTCATTTTGTGATTTATTTTCTACATTATTATATGAATCCTTCATAAAATAAGATTTACTATTAAGTTCTGATGATACCAATTGTAGTTCATTGCTAATTTGGTTGTAATATTTTACTGCTGACATATTTTTTTCTGTTAGACTAGATACTTTGGCATTTAATCCAGAAACTTGAACTTCATACTTGAATACTTCATCAGATAGTTCCATAAGAGTTTTCTTAAAAAATGAGCTACTCTTTTTTTCTTCGTCTAATTGTGATTCTAATTCTTTTATCCTTTCATTAAGTTTTATCTCTAAATCAGAAACAGAAGCATCTTCTAAACTCGATGAATTTTCATTATCTATTATATTTGATCTTCTCCCTGCTTCTGAATGTCCTATTAATTCTAAACTTTCTTCTGATGTAAAATCATGGTATGATTTATCTGAATCAGTCATATCAACTTCTGGAAGATCGACACTTTCGATTTCTGAATTCATTTCATCGGAGTCCTCAGTACTTGAATTATTTAGTTTATGGTTTTCAGGTGATAAAAATTCATCTAGGCTATCTGAGGACTCAGCACCTTCATAAGAGGAGTCGCTTAAATTTGATCCTTCAGAATTTTTGACAGAATTCAATTCATTAACTTCTAGTTCTTGGCTTTGGCTCGACTCAATCGTAGAAATATTATCGTCTGAATCATTAGTTACAATAATTTTCCTACGTTTTCTTTTCAAAGGATTTGAAAATAACCATGAAAAGGGTAATTTGGATTTTGTTTTGACATTATCATCATCTAAACTCTCGCTTTTATCTCTATCGCTAATATCTTCAGCATTACTTCTCTTGGATGAAGAAGCATTATTTTTACTACCAGTTAACTCCACCATTCATCTAGTTATTATAAAATAAAAATCCCTTATTATTACAGCTGTTGTTATAGTTCCTCTTACTACTTATCTCTGATTATCTTTAAATTTAAAGGTATTCAGCTAAGAAATATAAAGGTACTTCCTAAATTATTAAATTTTAATGCACTCCAGATTCAATATTTTTGGAATGATCCACGTTCTTGTTTGTTATCACGAAAAGATGATAAAATAAAAATAGAAATTCCACAAATCCTATCTTAAATATTTAGCAGTTCTTGAATGACTTCAACAAGAGATTAATTAACCACTACTTACAGATGACAAATCATGATTTTGTCAACTTTTTCGTGTCTTTATACTACTTTTGATAATATCTTCAATTTTCAAATTTCAAATTTCTGCTGAAGAGAATAACAAACTTTTAAAATCTGAAAATCGATGGGCCTTCGCCTTTCGTCCCGGAAAAATGTTTGATAATTTCGGAGGTTTTTTCTGTCATTTCGGAACAATTATGATCGGATAATTTATTTTAACTTAAATAATTGAAATTTCTGTAAATTCAATTAAAAAATTGATCAACTATTGATTGGCTGATAGTATTATTATTATTTTAATATTTCTTTGATTAAGTATATATCTGTATCTATTTACTTGATTGTTATTATTCTATAAGTATTGAATAACATATGCTTTTTGCTTTTGTGATTGTAATAAAATTAATGTGGCTATAGGAGAAGGACTGACAAGAAATAAAAACTTTCTATCTTCTGTAGCAGATCCTCCTTCTTGGTTTTGCATCAGGTAATATATAGACGCGGATTTATAATAGAGGTCCATTGTTTTTATTAGACCTCGCACTTTTTTGAGTGGCTTTTAATTTACTCGAAAGTGATGCAATTTTGATTTCCTGATCTGATAGTTCCCCAGACAATTTTTGTATTAAATTTTTAGCATTGTTTAAGGCAGTATCTCTTACTTGAAGAGCATGCAATGATATTTCTAGTAAGTTTTTCAAATATTCTACTTCTTCACATTTTTTCTTATCTTCTATGATAAACTGTTTATTTTGGAGCTTTAAAGATTCTAATAAATTTTCCTTCGGCAACTCAAAATTCTCATCTGTATTCTTGTGAATTTGATTTGTTTCGACTTCGACGATAGTTTCATTTACTTCAAATTGATTTTCAGCCTTATCTTTTTTACTTGGAACGGTCTTGGTTTGATAAACTTCTTCACTGGCACTTAAATCAACCAGCGTCCCCCAATGTTGAGATTCTATTTCAACTGGACTATTGTTCAATAGTAATCCCTTTTCGTCACCATTTATTTCTTCGTCACTATTTGTTTCTTCGTCACTATTTATTTCCTCGTCATCTATAATCTCTATTTCGTCAAGTGATTGTTCTGCAGAAATTAATTCTCTATACAATCCTATTTGATCCATAGAACCATCTGACGAGTAATTTGGAGTAAGTTCTTTGTTCTTCATTTTAATTTCCATTTCCATATTATTATCTTCATTTGGCTTATCTTCATTTGGTTTTTCTTCATTTGGTTTATCTTCATTTGGCTTATCTTCCTCTGGTCCGTCCATTTTTATTACGTCTTTTGGACTGGAATTACCCCCAGTATCGCCATTTCTTCCTTCGTCACCTGTTTCATGCAATAAATTCGTTGTCCCTCCATTTGGATAATTGACAGAATCAGTAATTTTATTGTCACCTCCATCTAAAACAACTCCAAAAACTACATTTGATTCAGCATTAGTATCAATGTCATTTGAGGGGCTGTACATTGGCTGTTTGGTAACCTCAGTTCCGCCTTTGTCCAGAGATATACCTAGGGTCAAGTTGTTTTTATCAAAACCAACATTTAAATTTTCAAGAAATCGTACCGTCTTCTTAAAAGGCCAAATTCTGACACCCTTACCAGACAAATTTCTACTTTTAGCTAAAGTATAAGAAACAGGTGAATCTAAAGATTTGAAATTAGACAATTCACTTTTTAAAATCAATATATCAACTTTATCAGAATAGGAATCAACTACAATCGATCCTAGTTTATCTCTAAAGGTTTCAGACATGCATAGAAATAATTTATCAACCTCTTTACTTGAAGATTGATTGTTTGGTAATTGATTTTCAAAGTATACTGTAATCATTTTCAAGTTTTTGAACCATTCATTCCTCCATTCTTCTTTTGAGAGTTTTGGGGATCTTTGGGGAGTAGTCGTCATATTTTTCTTACCTCCCTTTATCGCATTTTCACTTTCAGAAATTTCGTGGTATTCCATATTCCTTCTATCTAGATATGGGTTAAGATATTTAACAGTATTGTCTTTAACAAATGGATTTTCAATACTCATCTCTTCTACCTTTTTTTCTGTATTGAGTTTTAATTTATCATTCTTCTTTGATACCTTTAAACTGGTCTCTACTTCCTTATTTTCCAAGTCTTGAATGCCCAAAAGCTTCTTTTCGTTCAATACTCCTTCAATATGTCGATACCTTACTCTATCTCTCTTACAACTCTGCTGGTAATAAGAAACATGGGTATCCATATAATTATTGTATGAACAAATATCATTGGTGACACTAATAAATCTACTAATAAATATGGGCTTGTGATCTGGGACCCCGGATTTTATTATTTCTATGAACGAGTTTTTTGAACATTTTTGTATGTTAGGCAATATTTGTCTGATTTTGCTACTAAGTTG